GATGTAGTGTTGGTAGGCGTGGTTCCTGGGTGATGTAGTGTTGGTAGGCGTGGTTCCTGAATGATGTAGTGTTGGTAGGCGTGGTTCCTGAATGATGTAGTGTTGGTAGGCGTGGTTCCTGAATGATGTAGTGTTGGTAGGCGTGGTTCCTGAATGATGTAGTGTTGGTAGGCGTGGTTCCTGGGTGATGTAGTGTTGGTAGGCGTGGTTCTGAATGATGTAGTGTTGGTAGGCGTGGTTCCTGAATGATGTAGTGTTGGTAGGCGTGGTTCCTGAATGATGTAGTGTTGGTAGGCGTGGTTCCTGAATGATGTAGTGTTGGTAGGCGTGGTTCCTGAATGATGTAGTGTTGGTAGGCGTGGTTCTGAATGATGTAGTGTTGGTAGGCGTGGTTCCTGAATGATGTAGTGTTGGTAGGCGTGGTTCCTGAATGATGTAGTGTTGGTAGGCGTGGTCCTAAGCGTTAAGACCGACGGGTATAGGGCGCTTCGAATGGTTAATTAAGGCGTTAACGTGAGTCATTGATGAAAGTCCCTTGTTGTGACCTAGTGCAGGTGTTGACAACGGTGCTGGCGGTGGTGCCTGTCTGTACCCTGCGGGGCCAGGCCGCCTCACGTCATGTGGCTCATAACAATAATAATAAGTTTTATTCACAAGAAGGTACAATGGGTTGGTGAGGGAACATAAGATTGGTATTTTTTACATTCTTGCAAAGCCAGTAACACGCATAGCGTCTCGGAGTAGGGCCTAGAGGAGCAGAGGCTGGAAGAGCAGGGCCTAGAGGAGCAGGGCCTAGAGGAGCAGAGGCTGGAGGAGCAGGGCCTGGAGGAGTAGGGCCTGGAGGAGCAGAGCCTGGAGGAGCAGAGCCTGGAGGAGCAGAGCCTGGAGGAACAGAGGCTGGAGGAGCAGAGCCTGGAGCTCTGCTATGCCCTACTCCAAGACGCTATGCGTATAGCAGAGCTACACGGCGTGAACTTCTCGTTCACGCCGTATAGTGGGCGCAGCATTTGATCTCGTCTTGTACTTAGAATAGGTTAAGTTAACTTAGGTTGGGTTGGGTAAAGTTTGGCTTGTTGCTAGAGTAGCAATGATGCAAGTAACAGCCAGAGGAGCACCTGGGTTACAGAAAGGTCAACCTGGTCAAACGTGAAGCGCCGCCACAAATATTCAAGGTACTTCTGCTGTATTTTATAATCTTTTGAAACTGTATTTTCGTTAAAATTTTAACGTATATACTGAAGTAATTTACTACATTATGCAATATAAATATGTTCTAATTAAATACTCTCGCCAATTGTTAGCTAATTGAAGCACTATTAATATCAACCCATCTTTATATTAGCGGACTGAGAGCAACGACTGATCGAGAGTACGAACATGGACTGTTACACCCACAGTAAAGTTCATGTTTTATGCTGTTGCAATACTCCGGATGTCAGGCTAAAACTGGACCAGTAAACAACATGTGTGTTTGTGACAAACACACTACTGTAGCATGAGACACAAGAGTGATGGGAACACCCAGTTAGTTTACCCAAGGTGCTCTACGCCACGGATGGTGCTCCTCCAGGCTCTGCTCCTCCAGCCTCTGCTCCTCCAGGCCCTGCTCCTCCAGCCCCTGCTCCTCCAGCCCCTGCTCCTCCAGGCTCTGCTCCTCCAGGCTCTGCTCCTCCAGGCCCTGCTCCTCCAGCCTCTGCTCCTCCAGGCTCTGCTCCTCCAGGCCCTGCTCCTCCAGGCTCTGCTCCTCAAGGCTCTGCTCCTCCCCTCACCAACACTACACACATGGAGATACAAATATCCTAAGCTACTCTATTTCTATGAGATGTATTGTATTGTCTCATTAAAAGTACTTGGACCTGAACTACTCGCTCACACACACACATCGCTTCTCGGCCTTTTGGCTAAGATCAAAGTGTGTACTCGCTCACAAAATTAGTTCAGTTTATTTCATATATTATGCACCCCATACCCATCTTGTGGGAGGTAGTGGAAAGGGTTACAGAGGCACATAATGGGCTCAGGGACTGAACAACACAATTCATTTAGTTAAGCAAGTTACAATCTTGATGAGCTAGTTACAAAATTCAGTATAAGTCGTCACATCAACAATGGGTTCTAGACCGACCACAAGTACAGGTTCTAGTGTAAGGAACTGACATATGTGGCGAGCTCTGTCACAATGGCAGGATAAATATCTGAACGTAAATTATGTAACAATATGTAAAATACTAAGAACGTAAGAACGTAAGAAGAACGTATGTAAGAACGTAATATTTTGTAAAATAAATATCTTCCGTATAGAATCATTCGTATATATCAAGTAGTGGGAACGGCGACATCGCCCAGACTGTGATGTCTGGCATGTAGTGGAGTGTTGTGTCGCCTGCCACAGTGGAGGGAGTAATATGGCAACACGGGCAGTGTGTGTCTAGGGAAACACTAGGTTGCCATACACACAACTATGGCACGCTGGCAACACCTCCACCACCGGCTAACAACAGTCACGACATATATTTCCAGATCAAAGATTAACGTCTAGAAGTGGTTCATCCCGGAGCTGTGATTGGCTGCGGCCCGCTAACATAAATAGCCTGGCTGATCAGGTCATCACCAGGGAGGCCTGAGACGTTAGCCTAAGAGAGCAGAAAACTCTTGTAATCGACCAAGAGTTTGCTTTGACGAACGAATGGCACTATCTTCGCCCGAGCGTCCCAAGCATTATAAAAAAGGTAACTTTCATCCCATCGTTACCAAGATTACTCAACCATAATTTAACCCAACATAACTCACACCATCCCGCCCAGTTGTGTGGAGTCACGTGACTATAGTTGCTGGCAAACAGCTGATAATATAGATATTATCAGGAAGATATCAACTTTTTTTTCCTCCAGTGATTGAAGATGGCGGTTATATTAGGCTTACTGTCATAATGGTTATTTATTTACTCTGGAAGGTGACAGGAACACATTACTTCGCTTCCTTCCCTTTGTCTGTATTTATACCTCAATAAACGTATTTGAATTTGAATTTGAATATGAAATTGAATTTGAATATGAATTTGAATTTGAATTTGAATTTGATCTTCAGTTCGTGTTAGGAGGTTCAAAGCTCTCCCTCACCCTTCCAGGTTTCCCAGAACTATAACCCAGCAGGGGGTTTACAACCAGGTCCCTAAATGCTGCTGAACAAACAAGGGGCGAACAGTTAAGGATAGTTACCCAATCGTCCTTCCTTGCCCAGGACTCGAACCCTGATCCATATCTCTCACTAGCCGTGTTGAAAGACTGCGGTTCCTCTGCACCCGCCCGGCGCTTCGCGAGCGCTTGGCCCTGGGTTCGTATCCTAACCGAGGAAGATTGACTGGGCGCCAATCCTTAACTGTAGCCTCTGTTCACCCAACAGTAAAATGGGTACCTGGTTGTTGAACGACTTGGCGGGTCGTATTCCAGGAAAAAAAATTGGGGTTTAGGACCTGCCCGAAACGCTACGCTTACTGGTGGCTGTACAAGAATGTAACAACTCTTGAAATACAATAATATAGGGTCTTCTTTCTCAGAAATGAATGTGGGGATCCCAGAATGGTCGTCAACGCTGTCAAACCTGCCAGGGAACTGAGGCTTGACACGGCCTTGCCAGGCTCTCCGTGACAATGACCTAACCATTTGGCCTCCTTCTCCATCTGCTTTAATAAACAAAAGGAGATCGAAGCCGGAGAAGACAGTGATTAATGGAGTCTTCTGTGGAGCTATCCGGCCGCCGGCTGGTAATCCAGCTCATCCGTCACCTGATATGTGGGCTGTGTTCATCCGTCACCTGATATGTGGGCTGTGTTCATCCGTCACCTGATATGTGGGCTGTGTTCATCCGTCACCTGATATGTGGGCTTTGTTCATCCGTCACCTGATATGTGGGCTGTGTTCATCCGTCACCTGATATGTGGGCTTTGTTCATCCGTCACCTGATATGTGGGCTTTGTTCATCCGTCACCTAATATGTGGGCTTTGTTCATCCGTCACCTGATATGAACTCAGCAATTTAATCGGCCTAGATGTATGAAGCAATTCAATCATTAGATATAAACTCAGCAAATCCATCGGCAGAGATGCCTGAACCTAATCCATCATTACAGAGGCGCTCAGCTAATCCATCATAGAGATGCGCTCAGCTAATCCATCATTACAGAGGCGCTCAGCTAATCCATCATAGAGATGCGCTCAGCTAATCCATCATTACAGAGGCGCTCAGCTAATCCATCACCAGAGATACACTCAACAAATTCACTATATTTTACCCATTGGTGGCTAGGCTGTGCCTCGATACCCGGGGGGGGGGGGACAAAGACCTTCCCCTCTTCTATAATTTCATAGCTAACGAGGGTAGATTATAGCATTACACAGATCAGCTGAAAAAAGAGGAATATACGAGTATATACATATATATGTTGCAAATGAGAGGTCTGGTTTAACCTAAAGTACTTTTACGCCATGTAAGAAAAATGACCTGTGCCTGTGCAGCAGTCGTCGTGCACTGCTCAGGAATCTCCGTTTGGCGCGAGTTTTGGGCAGTGTGCAGCGACGTGCGGCGCCACCCATCGGCCCGCGGCTCCCTCATCGCTGGACTTGTTTACCGTGTAATATAACTCAGGAAAAAGTCCTCCGGTTCATAAGCTATGTGCGTGTTTTAGCCTCCTCCATGCGAAACATTGTGACACTTGTAAAAAAGGCTCTGGAAACATTTTGGAAGCGCGCCACGCTAGTGTAGTACGGCGGTTGAGGGAGACAAAGGCCTCAAACACCGCCAAGGGATTATACATTCATCCAATTTTAAGCCAACTTTTAGGGCTAAAACGTTGTATTGGCGAAAACGTCGTTACTTAGAGTGTTCCATTATGGCTTACAAAAATTGGATTGATTACCTACGGCTCTCATTTGGCACGAATGTAATTAATTTTAAAGTGCCGAGGTGGTAACTGGCGTGGAGGGAGCTGGCTCCTGGATGTATCGACTCATTCACTCGCCGCGAGAACTCCGAGGGGAGAGGAAGTGTGTCTCCGCTCCCCACACTTGTGACTGTGGGCAAGCGTGTGAGGTGGGGCTGTGAGGGAGGGCACGCCTTACCCTCTCTTATAAACGAGTGACGGGGGAAAATACCGCCCAGGAAAAGTAGTGCAATTGATATTAGTGAAACAAAGAGTCCCCCCCCCCATGAAAATTTGAGGTGTAGTAGTTTCCCCTCAGGTTATACTCTCCATGGTAATTCCGACGTAACAAAATGGGGAACCAACCGGTATGTGGTGGAGGACTTGGGCCGGTGGAGGAGCAAGGGTGAGCATGCCCTGTGTGCTGGTGGTGGTCAGGTCGAGGTCCTCCTCCAAGGTCAGGGTGGGCAGCCGGCCTATTGTACCTCAACCACCCCCTTGTCTCTACCACCATCGTTAATAACTATCACTACCACCAAGACCACCACTCCAAGCCAAGGTTAGATGTCAGGTAGACTTGACCCGTCCACTGCAAGGTTAATTATTAGTGTAATTTACATATTATTATAATATATTGTAGTGTTCTCTACGATGTGTTCCATTGTAGTGTTCTCTTATGTATTGCAGATTGATCAGTACTGCTGTTGGTGTTGGCAATTCTGCCTAAAATCGTCTTATGTGGTCTTCGGAAATTTTGTTTAAAGTGTCTCCTGAAATATGATTTGTTAATGACTTTTTCTCGCAGTTAATTATGTTCATTTTGGAGTCATGGGGCTGTTTTGTGGTGTATTTTTGTGTATATTTAATGATTTTATTTTGTTCGTCCAATAGTGGTTTATTCGTATTATCTGCGTAGCCTAGTTAGTGCTGACTGTATTGAACGATGTGTTCACATCAAACTTCTAAATATCTTTGGTAAAGTTCAGAATATTCACAGTAAATTTTTAGAATATTCTCAGTCAACTGTTATACCCCTTGTTGAAGTTTCAGAATATCCTCAGTCAACTGTTATACCCCTTGGTGAAGTTTCAGAATATCCTCAGTCAACTGTTATACCCCTTGGTGAAGTTTCAGAATATCCTCAGTCAACTGTTATACCCCTTGGTGAAGTTTCAGAATATCCTCAGTCAACTGTTATACCCCTTGGTGAAGTTTCAGAATATCCTCAGTCAACTGTTATACCCCTTGGTGAAGTTTCAGAATATCCTCAGTCAACTGTTATACCCCTTGGTGAAGTTTCAGAATATCCTCAGTCAATTGTTATACCCCTTGGTGAAGTTTCAGAATATCCTCAGTCAACTGTTATACCCCTTGTTGAAGTTTCAGAATATCCTCAGTCAACTGTTATACCCCTTGGTGAAGTTTCAGAATATCCTCCAAATACTATAATCCTTGGTGAAGTTTCGCAATGTTTCATTTAAAATGCAGAATACCTTATACTAGAATTTCAGAATAAATCAGTTACAAAGAGAACATCTTCATTTATATTGTAAATTTTGTCTTAAATAAGAATATCCAACACTTAAATTATCTGATTGTCCGATCCAACTTATGTTTTAGAATATCCTTACTTATAGTTTCAAATATGCTTACTTATATTTTAAAATATTAATTATTGAATGAAAGAATATCTTCATTTAAATGTTAGAGTAGAGTTAGTAGTAGTAGTTCTTATAGATTTTAGTAGCATAGTCTATATAAAAATATAGTAGCATAGTCTATATAAACAAAAAATCTTTTTACTGAATAGGATAAGGAAGTGTGGGGGAAGTTATTATAATTTTTACCAAAATTTTATTTTGCATTTTTGACCATATTTGAAGCTAAAGGGCTAAAGGAAGAGAGAAGAAAACCTGTGTCTGCCTCAGTCTGTCAGCCTGTCTCTCTCTGTCTGTCAGCTTGTCTCTGTCAGCCTGTCTCTTGTCTGTCAGCTTGTCTCTGTCTGTCAGCCTGTCTCTCTGTGTCTGTCAGTCAATTCTCATGTGACGAATCACCCAAGCCTAGCGAGAAGTAGACAGGACCAGCCTTGGACGCTACGAGTTGTGTATCATCTTTTATTTTTTTATTTTTTAGCCATCTTGCTTTGCTCTCACAGTTTGATGTAATTCGCCTTCTCACCCAATACGTCGTATTTTTAACGGAATCGACCAATGCGCTACAAATGTGTGTGTGTGTTTGTATATAATTGAAGGGATCGAAATATTGGCGTTGCCCTTGTCACTAGTGATGTTCACCTGGTAAGATCTTAGAAGTGTTATATTTTATTTTACCTACGTGAGCCTAGTATCACTGTAGGCTACTAAATGTGAACTCTTATGTCCCCTCAAAATTCACAGTTTTGTACTAGTGGAATTCTCAAGGATTTACTAAGAAAAATTAGGAGTAAGTATAAACCTGACCTGTCCTAGGTCTAACATTCGCAATCAAAAGCCTCATTTAGTACATGCATGTACTATATATATTCTAGGCTTTGGAAAAGTTGAGTGTGGTTGCTGTCTTCTTTGTCGGTCGGCCCCACAACACAATTTATAACACAAAATGTGGACCTGTTTTTTTTTTTGGTACAAAACAGCCCGTATTCTGTACTTCCATCCACGAGAACGATGTGCTATAATTTGTGGATGAGAGATTGAACGTTCCGTGATTATGTAAGATTAGAGGAATGAGTGAGACACTTGCTGTGTGTCCCCAATAGAGGGGAAAATCTCCAATAAACAGATTATTCATAATTTATATCAATTTACCAAGCGGATATGAATTAATTTGTGTTTTTGTCAAGTATGTATCATAGTGTTTGAAACAAACCGCCAAAAGTGAATGACACGAACTCACGGTATTGAATACTCACATTTCTCGCCGGGAACATAGTTATGGATAAAGACAAATCAAAGAGATTTTATAAAATCCCCAAACTTATTAAAATAACAATAACAAATCAATTAGGTCTTCAAAAATACTCGTTACGTATGCTGAATTTCTCTTAAGTTTGATCATATGAAAATATATTGAAACAAAATCGAGTAACGTAAGAGGGAGCCAACGTGGCCCACCTGCCGGGCTAAACAGTACTGCCCTGGACGGGACGAGTAACGTAAGAGGGAGCCAACGTGACCCACCTGCCGGGCTAAACAGTACTGCCCTGGACGGGACGAGTAACGTAAGAGGGAGCCAACGTGACCCACCTGCCGGGCTAAACAGTACTGCCCTGGACGGGACGAGTAACGTAAGAGGGAGCCATCGTGACCCACCTGCCGGGCTAAACAGTACTGCCCTGGACGGGACGAGTAACGTAAGAGGGAGCCAACGTGACCCACCTGCCGGGCTAAACAGTACTGCCCTGGACGGGACGAGTAACGTAAGAGGGAGCCAACGTGGCCCACCTGCCGGGCTAAACAGTACTGCCCTGGACGGGACGAGTAACGTAAGAGGGAGCCAACGTGACCCACCTGCCGGGCTAAACAGTACTGCCCTGGACGGGACGAGTAACGTAAGAGGGAGCCAGGTAATGTCAAGATCAGTATTCTCCACGCTCCGGGGACGCCACGCTCCTCGCACACTAATTTTTCCCGCCAGGACAAGAAGGTCGAGAGGGTGTGCGGGTTTAGTCTTGTTTGCCGTTGTTGTTCTTCTTCTTATTCCTCGTCGTCTTGGGACAGACAGACTCGAGACCTAAGGGCTATAAGGCGAGGGCTGAGGCTGCTCAAATCGTTTTCCGATTGTTAAAGCCGTATATATTAGTAGGTTAGGATGAAATTTGTTAGGCTTGACGCTGTTGGGTAAGGTTAGGTAGGTTTTAAACCGCGTGGCAAACCGTCTTGCGTATGATTTGATTTATATACTCGGGAAGGTGGTGGTGGTGGTGGTGGTGGGGGGGGGGGAGGTGGTTGTGGTGCGAGGTTTTATGTAATTGAGGTTAGTGGTGGGGGTCGTGGTGGTTCTTGGCGGGTCTTTAATAGTTTATTAGTGATCAGTTGGCAGCTGGTTCTTGAGTTGCTCTTGATGCTCTTAGTTGGGGTTTGGTTGATACTTTGTTGATACTACTTTCACTAGTTTATGGTTGGCTCTTTGGTGAGTTTGGTTGGTTCTTGGTAGTTTTGGGGTGATAAACTCGTGGTTAGCGCCTTGTGGGTCTTAGCAGCGTGAGGTACTACCTGTATGGTGAAGGTCATCATGATTTAAACGACAAGTTCAGTAATGGAGAAGGTTGTGGAGGGCCGTGTGGGATAGCCTTAATATGTCTCTCAACTCCCTTCTCTGTGACCGACCTACTTACTGGCTAGATGGCTAAGCTAGTCGTTCCCCTGCATCGCTTCTGGCCATGGCTCGTTACCGTATAAAGGTAGTTGGTTCTTGGTGTAATGGTTCTTTACTGAAGTAGCCATCATGTTCCGATTGTGTTGTATATAATCTTCTGTCCTGGTGTAGAGATTGGGTTGATTTTTTCCTCTCGTAGGACAATGCTGTTGGCTTGTAGTTATTGGAGGTCCTTTGTATCGTCACGTAGTCGGTGGAAAGGCAACGATTGGGCGGGTTCTGTCAACATTGTCTGTCAAACATTGATCGTATATTCATCATTTGGAGGATGAACCCATCTTTCAAATCTTTCAGGATTTGGGGTTAATCTTTCAGTTTTTGGGTTCATCTTTCAAGCTTTTAGGTTCATCTTTCACGATTTTGGGTTCTACTTGCAGGTTTTTGGGTTCATCATCAAGGATTTGGAGTTTATCTTCCAGGATTTGGTGAGTTTTTCTTACAGGATTTGGGGTTCATCATCGAGGAGTTAACACCCATGAATTTTGCGGTTCAGTTTCCAGGATTTACCTTCCAATATTTGGAGGTTCATCTTTTAGGATATTTGGTTCAACTTCCAGGATATGGGGCTCAACTTCCAGAATATGGGGCTCAACTTCCAGGATATGGGGCTCAACTTCCAGGATATGGGGCTCAACTTCCAGAATATGGGGCTCAACTTCCAGAATATGGGGCTCAACTTCCAGGATATGGGGCTCAACTTCCAGGATATGGGGCTCAACTTCCAGAATATGGGGCTCAACTTCCAGGATATGGGGCTCAACTTCCAGGATATGGGGCTTAACTTCCAGGATATGGGGCTCAACTTCCAGGATATGGGGCTCAACTTCCAGGATATGGGGCTCAACTTCCAGGATATGGGGCTCAACTTCAAGGATATGGGGTTCAACTTCCAGAATATGGGGCTCAACTTCCAGAATATGGGGCTCAACTTCCAGGATATGGGGCTCAACTTCCAGGATATGGGGCTCAACTTCCAGAATATGGGGCTCAACTTCCAGGATATGGGGCTCAACTTCCAGGATATGGGGCTCAACTTCCAGAATATGGGGCTCAACTTCCAGGATATGGGGCTCAACTTTCAGGATATGGGGCTCAACTTCCAGGATATGGAAGTCGTGTGTGTTATTGTCTGTCAGTGCAGGTCAACACACTGTCTGTCAGTGCAGGTCAACACAGTGTCTGTCA